ATCACGATCACGACGACGGAAAAAGTTCTCAATCACGCACGATCACGCGTGATCGTGACCGTGATCGTGATCGTGATCGTGAAATTTGTGATCACGCAAAACACTAACGACGAGTATCTTTCCATAATTGCAATGATTTTAATACTAATTCGTTAACATCTTGTAAATATATAAATGAATCAATAGTTCGTTTGATATCAGCATTACTCATAGCCATTATAATATTTAAGGCACATATTAAATCAAAAGTTCGTTCATAGAAATAATATGGAAAACCTTGGCGTTTTAATAATTTTGAATACAAATCTAAAAATGGTTTACTAGCAAATGCAAGTGGACCTAATATATCTATGCTACCCCCCTTATTATCCGTATCAAATGCAAATGCAAAACCAAAATCAATTAATTTTATATGATTACTATCATGATCTAACATTAAATTTTGTGGACATACATCACGATGAATAATACGACAATCATATAAATAATGAATTATATCAATAAGTTGTTTCGATTGGATCAATGATAATGATTCTATACATTCTAATTTTTTTTCATAGAATAAATATTTATCTAAATACAAACAACAAAAAAAAAATTTAGAAATAGTATAAAATATTATTTCAATTATAGGTAAATTGAGATTTAGGTCTTGTACCGAAACAAATCACTTACGTAAAATATTCTTTTTATTAATTATTTCATATAAACTACAAACGAATAGTCTATATAGCTGTTTAATCAAAATCTTAGATATGAACAGAAGTTAAAGTATTGAAAATTATTCTAAGACATTTAGTTTTCTTTTTGTCCATAACTGAGCTAAGTTCTTTATTAGAAAGATCATAACAATCATTCAATTACCTAATAGAATTTTCAAGATTAGATATGTTTTAGTTGAGTTCACACTGAAAGCAAGTTTGTTCTAGTAAACATCATTTTCAAAAATTTCGCTGTGTTATCTATCTCGTTTATCAAACAATAGTTTTTTTTTTTAATCTTTAAACTAATCGATGTAACGTTAACATTTTACAAAAATAATTGGACGAAAATTTTACTAATTTAATTAAAAAGTATTGTTTTGGTTAGAAAGATAAATGGATCATTTAAAAAATTAAACTTTTACGATGAGTTTCTTTAATATATAATATATCTTTTTCTTGCAAATCTCTGCTTCTATGTATTTATCCTCTCTTTTCTTACATGGACATGAAAGACAAGAAATATATGGATAAAGATTTGGGCATATACCTATATCGGTTTTGTTGTAACTCTCATATTTATATCCTTAACCCTAGTACATTGCTATCTATATCTTTAGTCATATAGCTTTATATCAGTGAAAAATCATATAGATTTTTTTTGACAAAAATATTCGGCATTTCTGTTTTTAAGCTTGATTATAAAGAACTATATGAAAAGAAAAAAGAGATGATGATAAAAATAAAGTTCAAATTGTTGTCTACATTACTCCTGAAGAATGTTTGATGAAAATGAAAGAACTATGATCGTTTGGAGTATCTTTTTTGTTTTTGAATAAATATTATTCATTAGAACTACTATAGAGAAAAAGACAAACATTTAGGAAAACCTATTCAATTAAGTTTCTATTGACATATCAATTTATCTATAGCTTCTAAACAAAAAATAACCAATATCATGTATTTTAATCAGATTAAATTTATTTATATTTGTGTTTTTTCTTACACAACTATTTCTTTATTTCTCGATATTAAAATAGATTCAACTGCATATCACTGATAAAATTCGTTTCTACAA